AAACCAATTTGTCATATCTAATTTTTCTGCTAATCCAGATGTTCGAGATTTATTTCCTGAGCCACAGATCTGTAGCGGATTGCTACGCTAGTAAAGCCTGACCTACTCAGAAATCTCTATGGCAGATTCTCCTACATCTAGCTAGACTCCCAGAACCAGCTAAGCTATAGCCCAGCTATCAAGGCAACAGACGCGTAGCACGGTGCACGTTTATTCAGTACGTATATTGCGGATCAAGTGTGTACACGCAGGGATCTACTCATGATTAGGATGGGGGATTAGGTTAAACAAACAGAGGTTGATGATTGGTCACCATTTGTACAGTCGCTGCACACAGAGTTGTACGGCGCACCTCCCAATCCTGGCGAGCAGACATGCAGGCGTACGATGACGCACACAGCGATAACGTGTCCCACAGATCTATAATTTTCAAAGTTTGTGGACCAGTTGGTTTAACTGACTGGTCGACCAAGCTGATTGGAATCATTAGACACGGCTTTCACTCATGGGCTAATAATTGATGGTGGTAATAATGTAGTTCAAGCAGCTTTTTAAAAATCTATATCTTAAAAAATTTTAAATTCATCAAATTTGTTTCATCTTAAAGATTAGGGTCTTTTGCACAAACTAAATAATTCAATGCAACGTTTACTTAATTTTTATTTCAATGATTAATACTTGGTGTATAAATTCAAGAGGCTTATAGCCCACCAACCACAGTTGGTCTTGAAATCTCGACGAAACTTCATTTCCTTTATTATTCAAATAAAATTTACGACGCCATTACTTTGTAGACTCTTAAAGCCAGGCGAAAAGAAATTGAAAGAAAAATTGACGCCGAAATGATCGAACGTCAGAAATTGAATCTGGAGGCTCGAAGGCTCCGTCGACAACTCAACAGCGTCTCAGAACAAAGGGAAGAACTCGTCACTGAATTAAAGGAAGCTCAGAATGAAATCAATTTCTTAACAGTAAATTCTAAATGAGTTTAGATTTCTTGAGATATTAATTATTAATCAATTAATTATTTTACCTAAAACTTTTCAGGCCAAATACGACTCGATTAAGACAGAACCTCTAGAATTAGAAGTTGAAAATGAAAAAATTGAAATTGAATTACGGTAATTTCTTAAGAAGCTGCCATTAAACAACTAAATTTTAGTCGCCTTAGTGGATTAATATCTGATACTGAATATCAGATCAAAGATCTAGTGAAAAAAAAGTTAAAATTGGAGAGCTCCAACACTAATATCACAGATGCATCGATTATTTTAGTTGATAAAAACGCCACACTTCGAGATACAACCCTTGGAGTAATCGATAAATTGGATACAGCCAAACGAAAGCTTCAAGAATTAAGTGAAGAGGAGATTCGACTAAGAAAATCAATGTATGATAATGTTATTAAATAAATGTCTTGTAAATAATTTAAGAACTGAGGTAGAGATGAAAAGGACTACTTTCGAGGCTGAAAGGCGGCAAATTCTCGAATCATCCAAACAGGCTGTTAAACGTGGTGGAACCACCCGCAAAATCATTAAACAGGGGTTAAAGAAGACCACTCATCTGCAAGAAACCATTAAACGCCTTGAAGCAAACCAGAAAACTCAAAAAGAGGAGTTGGAGTTATTGAAGAAGGAATCAGCTTCGAAGCGGTGCATTGAAGAACGCGAGAAACTTGCGAGGCAGATAGCACAGCTCTCAGAGGAAATTATTGCCCGGGTTTGTGTTAATCTCCATTCAATCATTTTTTTTCAATGTAGAATGAATTCGCTGATGAAGAGACAAAGTACATTCAACAGCTAATGAAAGATGAAGCCAAACTTTTCAGTGAACTCGAAAACAAAGCGCGTGGTCTTTCAGATCTTCATCGGATATTCAACATGAAGTCACGTGAGGTGTCTCAACGGAAGTGGTACCTACAAAAGGCCCAATTGCATCGCACTCAAGTGCAAAGAGACCTCAAACTACAACAATTTCACCTCAGTGCTCATCGAAAAACACTTCTCTCCCTTCAGGTGGGACAAATAGACACCTTTTTGATAATGTCAAATATACAAGTGAATTCGCTTATTTTTTTAGCGACAATTGAGTCATCTGGGCAAACTTTACAAGACGATCAATGTGGAACGAAACGGATGTTTGATCCAGATCACTCTTGCTCAACAGACGATATTGACCACGGGAGAAAAGAACTGCTTCCACGAAAATGAATTGGACATTCTCAAGTCAGGATTGGCCAACAAGTTGGACCAATTAGATGAAGTAAGACAAAGAATGCAGGGAATTAAGAGGGACAGTATTTCCATTAGGGAGGAACTTTCCAAGCAGGTGGGTGTGTGTGCGTGGGTGTGATCCATTTTAAATTCTTCTCTTTTCTCCTCCACTTCTGATTGGTTAATTACTTTTTTTTGCTTTGTCATTAAGACACACCTGAACCGTGAACTTCAAACCAGTATAAAGTGGTTGCAGACTAGCATCGATCAATTGAAACGTGCAGTTGCAAATGAAGAAGCCAAAATTGGTCAAACTCAAACCAGCCTGAAAGAAGTCAACTCAAAGAGAGATAAACTCAAAAGTCGATTGAAGAATCTTCAAATGGAGATTAGGTTGCATCAAGTGGGTGAAGCGAATTAGTTTATTTTTTTTATTTTTAGGCCACCGATAGGGAGTTAGAAGTGAAAAAGAAGAATTTGAAGGAGGCTTTATCTTCAAAGGAAAGGGAGTTATCCTTGCTTCTCTCCGATAAACGATCCGAAACGCGATCTATCGAAGTACTAGAGAGGAAAGGTGTGCAAAAGAGGAAGATTGAAGAGGAACTAAGAAAAGACAAAGATCAGGTGGGATTTTTAATGCTTTAATTTAATTTAATCCCCCTTTTCCTATATAAAGATTGCAAAGGCCAAAAGCGCTCTGCAAATTCTCGAAATTATTGCCGATGTTCCATCTCCGAACAATTCAAACAACCGACTTCGATTTCTCGAGGGTTCCGATCCAAGCATGGAAGCGCTCTTAAAGAAGGAAGAGCGTCTCCTTTCAGACTTTTCCAAAAAGGAGACTGAACTTCAGAACAATCAATTGGTATTAAATATTGTTGACAATTTAGTCACAGAAATGGAAGACAAGAAGAAGGAGAGTAGGTGCGTTGAAGTAACCTAAAACACTGCCTTGGAAATGATAAGAGACAGGTTTTTGAAGAGCGTTTATTAAACTTCAACACGGTCGTTGGAAATCTTTCCACGCAGGTAGCTATTTAGATGAGTTCTCAAATTGTGGTAGAAAAGGAGTTGAGTTGGAAAGAGACATCTTAGAACCCTTCTTCCGTATTTTAAGTATGTCAAATGTTACGTGCTGAACCTCTCTGGAATCATTACTGGAAGCAACGCAGTCCCAAATAGCAGACTGAGAATCCGGAATTAGATCTCACGGTGAATTCATGGAATTATGGTCGTGGGCAAGAATGAATTGATGGAAATGTCAGAATGACGGTTATATATAAGAGGGGACCCACGCATCTAGACATGTCGAAGCATCTAATGCAACGAATTAACTTTGAAGTGAGGCGGTAATTAATGAGCCCAAAGGATATGAATAAGACGTCGACCCACGGCTTTTGTTAATCTTGATCAACAATTCCTCCAAACTAAAAGGTGATTGAACACACTAGCCCTCGTTGTTATGGCAAAAATGTAATTGACTTCATGTACACCGCGGTCGATATCGCATAAAAATATGCCCGAATTATTGTTTCTTTTTCTGAAAAATACACCCAACCGCATTCACGCGTGTTTCACAGCGGTAGACTGATATGTCGCCGACATGATGAGTTTTGATGGTGGTATCAGGCGAAGACGGCTATAGGCACGTATTGATTATGTTTTAAATGGCAATAGCGCCTTCTGTCACGAGTTTATTATACCATTGTAGCTTATTTTGAGGGAGGACCGTACGATCCTGCAGGTCGTTGAAAGGTTAAATTAATCAGCAAGCCCCTTTGCTCCAGACTCTGAGTTTCCCACCAAATGCCGTGTAGAGGGATAAGATACTTGCTTCACTTAAACATTCTTTCTTAAAGTGATGATGAGGCGTTTCTGGGTGAATACAATTCTCATTTCTCCCTCTCTCCATGATCCACAGCAACACCCAGAGACAGAAAGTTTATTTATATCAAATGGCGGGCGTTTTGATAATTATCATTAGCCCTTTAGCTGACTTCAGGCTTCACAGAGGGGAGGAGGAACATCAAAGTGGCAAAAAGTCGAGAGGGGCTGGGGGACAGAAGAGTGCTTCAAAGATGTAAGAGACAAACACAAAAGTGGAAAAAGGTGAGGTGAGTACTGCGAAAATGATCGAGTATGACATGCAGTCAGGTCATGGTAGTTTGAAGTCCGTAGTCAACTGCCGGTTAATAGACTTTTTTGCCGTATTAGTATACGTTGCCCAGGGTGCACCAGTTCCAGTTGGGTCTCACAAGTGTCACTCAAAAAATGGAGGGGTGAAATTGGCGACTGCAAGGTAGTGTAAGCGGAGATGTGATGCTCATTTGACATTTTGTGTTAAAGTTGATCATCGAATTTAAGATCTTTCATCTACCTCAATTTTTTTATCCCCCAGTAAGGAGAGCCTAACTTTGATGAAAAATGTCAACTCCGCCTACAGCGAAAACTACAAGAAAGGCGTTGAAATGAAGGCCGCTTGCGCTGAGCTACGAATGAATATGCTCTACTCGGAGGTGCTCAAGACCGAACTCAAGGTAGGTATAAAGGCATTTTAAAAAAATGTTGATTTTGGTCATTAGAATGCTGGTAGTGGGCAAAAACCCCGATGTCGCGGTCAAAAGGACGTTCTCAAACTTCTTACAAATGAAAAGGCATTGAAGCACTACACATCCGAGATTATTCATAAATTAACCATATCTACGCCCAACAAATTCTTTGCCTAATATATATATATATATATATATATATATATGTATGCATGCATGCATTCATGCAATTTACACAATAAAAAAGCACATTTTTTTAAAAAAGAATATGACTCGCTTCCCTTTTTATTAAATAACATTCATGAGATTCATTGATATTTATTTATATAAATGGCAGGCGTTCTGACAGTTATCATTAGTCCTTTAGTTGACTTCAGGGTTCACAGAGGGGGAGGAACATCATAGTGGGAAAAAAAGTCGAGAGGGGGGGGGGAACAGAAGAGTGTCTCAAAGACGAAGGAAGAAAAAAGGTGAGGTGAGTACTGTGAAAGTAATCGAATATAGCATACAGTGAGGTCATGGCAGTTTGAAGTCAGAAGTCAACTGCCAGTCAATAGACTTTGTCGTATGAGTATGCGTTGCCCAGGGTGCACCACGTGGAGGTAAGTCTATCGCACACCCCGGTAATTAGAAAGTAGAATGTATTAATTCGGAATCTTTAGGAGATTGTACACTGTTAGGGGAAAGAAAAACTGTTAGAAATATCCCCTAAATTGAGGGCCTCAGTTTTATATAATCCCAACAGTTAACATTTGAATACAACAGATCGAACGTCTCACTTCGAGCGATACCGATCACACTTTCGACAATGTTGGGAGACGGACTTGTGTAACATTTAAAAGTGAAGTGAGACGTGGTCACGACTACTGGTGCTGAAATCAAGAAGAGGGCCTTAAGCAAACGAGATCCCAACTTTCTTTCCCCCCCCCCCCCCCTACCAACCAACCAGGGACCTAGCGTCACAAGCAACAGAAGTATTCCCAAGATAACACCTCCTCTTCTTCTTCTTCCAACATGCATCACTTTCAGGCAAAAGACAGACAGGCAAGTCGAACGAATGAAGACTCATCTTTTATATATAAAAAATGAGATGTGCATATCAAAGGGAGAGAGAGAGAGGCAGTGTTAATATTATTAATGTTGATTGAAGCTTTAATGTATATATATATATACGTATATTATATCATCTGATCATCCATAGTGAGCTCTGCAGGAAGGCTTGGGATGATCGCATCAATCTGTTTCTGCAACTTCCTTCCATACTCGGCATAATTGACGGGTTTCACCTCAACTGCCACAACTCGAAGTCTCGATTCATCCTACAAAGAAATATCGATTGAATATATTTAGGGGGCATATAGAAGGAGTGTTACACGATCAACACAGCAACACCCCCACCAAATAAAATAGAGCAAGAATCACATAGTAACTTGTTTAAGTGAAGCAAGGAGCAAGCACAATTCTAATAATAAAGGGATAATAATAATAATAGCAAAAGTCGTGTTTAATAACCACATCTTCGATTTGACACCTAAATTTTAAGTAATCCCTTCCGCAATTTCATTTGAAGCCCTGTTGATTCCTCATTCCGCCTTGACAACATGGGTCTTTTTTCACATTAGAATTTGCATTGGGGAATTAGAATAAGCAGGCGTCTAGAAGTTTACGAGAACAGTTTTTTTCTGTTTTTGTTCACCCCTTTCCTCCTCTCCCTCTCTCTTGGTTTGGAATGCTCGTCTTAAATGATTTCAACAGAACAAGTCACTCAACTTTTAGTTTGGATGGAAGCCCTCCGCTCTTTCACAGCACTCAAAAGCCTTCAATCTCGATTCAATGACTATCGCGGGCATTGATTGCGGACATTACTTCCGTCCTCCCCACCTACCACTTCTCTCTCCTCGTATTTAGCTCTAAAATGATCCTATTACTCACTCTGATCAGTCTTGAAAGCAGACATCAATTCGACAAAGTCCACTTAAAAAATAGTCGAAATTTGAAGGGATCCACCAAATGGTGGCAAAACTCCGGTCCAAATCATGTTCTTGGGTGAACGAAAGGTGGCATAATTAATACAATCAGGGCAGCTTTGTTTGGAAAAATATCATTGCACCCTACGTGCAAATTGAGCAAGTTTTATCCATCTCTGAACCATAATAAGATTCGTTAGCTTAGAGGAACTGCAGATGGTTTATGTAAAGACGTCAAATTTAGAAAACCGTTCTTGGGGTATTAAAATATGCGCTATTGTGAGCACATTTTACGCACTAGGAATGAGATGAAAGCAAAAATATCGATTGCCTCCGGAGAATGTACTTAGAAATCACATTCAGAATTATAATGCCACGTTGGCAGAGGAGGGCGGCGCGAGAGTTGGGGGGGGGGGGGGGGGAGAATAAATAAACCTCAGAACTTACATTGAAGGTGTCCACCTTAGCACGGAGTCGAAATACCCATGACTTGAAAGTCGCATTCACAAAGACGTTCTCCATTTGAACCTCATCCTAAATGAAAACAAAATTAGTAGTTAGGCAGAAGGAATTTGCCTCAGTCTTATTCCGCAAAAAAAAGGCGCGCTCTGATTCGCTAATGGCCCACATCCAAACGTCATTCATACGTCAGTAGAGATCTTATTGGTCATATGCCGCAAATTGCATCTAGTTATTTAAACCACACATTAATAAGCTTGTTGTATATTTCAAGCTTAAATTTTGTAAAATAATTAAATGCAATGAGAGGGCAATGGGACACGAGTTTCCCTCCCCCGTAAGTATCAAGTTTTACTGTATTCGCATCATCTCATTCTTCGATTAACAAGAAAACGATTTCAAGAAACGAAAGATGAAATCTGGATTTCGAAGAAAAAAATGGTTAATAAGAACTTGTTATGCAAATATCGTTCAACCCAAAATGGGAACATCGATTCAACTAAATTATTACTCAAACTTAGGTGGAATGTCTTGTCACAGGTCAAAATGTATATACACATCATACATAAACCGAATCCCTAACTACGTTAGAGCAAAGAGAATTGCAGATTCAGAACCTTAATATTGGCGGTGATCAAAGTCAACCGCAGGTGTTGATTAAATAAATAAATGAATAAATAATGTTACAAGAAATGGAATCACACACCTTCGATTCCTTGATAGCACCCAAATCGTCCGCACTCCGGCCTAGTATAACCTCAGCAGTGTTTTGGAAGCAAGTAATCCAATGCTCCCCAGTTATGTCCGATATTTTCAGCTGCAATGACACACGCGCACATACACACAAAACAAAATAGACTATACACCATGACAGGAGAAAATACTACTAAATAAATAGAAATAAGTAGGGAGAGAGAGAGAGAGAGCATTACCGAGAGCATTAGACGCCATTTATAAATGGGCGACTCCCGATTGCACTTTTCGCAGCGGTAGAGCCCATTTCCAAGGTCGACGACTTTCTTCTGACACCCCTCAGTTACACAGGACTGATACATGAAATTCTCCTTTTTCAAGAATGTCACGGTCGCCTAACACCAAAACAAACAAAAAAATGCAAAGACTAAATTTGAAGTAAGGTTCAAATAAGCATTTAGAGTACACACCTACCACCACTCATCAATGACCATTTTCGAGAATTTGAAAAAATAAGATCCCAAACACACACACAGACAGACAGACAAGCATTCAATTCTACGGAAGATTATATTCGCTTCACGACAGGAAAGCATTATTTGGCCTAGAGCCCACTTCTTCTTCCTTCCAAAAGCCAGGGAAAAAATTGCAATTTAATAAAATGAAAAGCTGCCTTGTTAAACCACACAACGACCATGTATGCAGTAAAGTTCATGAATTTTAAAATCGGATGTCGAACCTGAAATCTAGGGGACACACACACACATAATGAGAAAGTGGAAAGCACAAATCAATATCTGAATCCAGAAAGGGGACTGTCCAAAGAAAAAGGGATTAAGAGTTCAATCTGAATCAACAAACAAATGGTTTCAAAAAAATCAATATAATTGTTAACTTTCTTTGAGGCTGAATCATATACACGCAAAAAATTAGATGTAAGAAAATTTGAAATTATAGCAGCCTTTACAGAAGCAAACTTAAAAAGATATAAAACAGGACCAAAAATTTACTTTTGTGGTGAAGTAGTCGGCCTTGGCTTGTCCCCCAATGCCTGGAGCTTCGAGATCAGACAGAAGATTCCAATCGCGAGATCCATTATACCCATCGCCACCTTCTCCAACCAATCCCTCACCACGATAAGTCTCAAAGTTGAGAGAACTTCCACCACTGTTGTCATACCATCCCTTGAGTTTATTCGCCTCTGGTATAGTTGAGGGTGCAATCATTACAGTGGACTGGGCAGTGGCACTTAATGAACGACCATTGAAGTCACTAACCCTCGCCGATCGAACAACAATGGCAGGATGGTTGGACCCGTCAAAATTAGCTGCCTCTTGACCCCAAAGAGTGAGACGAACAAGACAACCTGAATCATCAACAATGCCGAGTTCTCGTTTCTGGACATCACGATTCGACGTTTTCATAGTAATTGTGGTGAGATCACCAGCCTCGTGGACTATGCCGACAATGTCCACAAAATCTCCCGCTTTACAATCATCAAGCTTGCCAATTTTGACGAATTTAAAGGAGAATCCAGGAACTGAAATGTCTTCACCATCATCACAAGGAACGATCTGAGTGTCGGCATTAATATTCATTTCATAGTCATTATCAGTATTATTGAACTGTCTATTGGCAGGTTTAAGAGAGGCTTTACTGATATAAAAGACCTTATTGACTTCGATCAAATCGAAAAATCTATCAACTTCGGCGTTGAAAGCTGTTGCTCGGATTTCACCAGTGGAATCAAGAAGGGTGAAACTGAATAGTTTTCCCTCGCGACCGTTCTTATTCCATGTACGAATGGAGCCTTTTTGAGTAACGCGAGCTCTAATAGTCCAACGGCTTTGGTAAGGATTTAAACCTCGAATAGCGAAAACTTTTCCAGCAGGCGTTCCAGGACTAGCAGTTGAAAATGGTTGACTGACGTTTTTCGGAGGTGTTTTCAAAACGCTAGGTGCAGGAGCTGCAGCAACCGGTTTTTCTTCCATATTGACATCCGCTTGACGAGCTGAAAATAAAGATAGGAACAAAATAAGGCGAAAGGAGTAACTAAACCAGGCAGTAAAACCTACTTTTATCAGCTTCATAACCAACAATCTCGAGATCAAGTACGATAACAACAAATCTAAATAGTAGTTAATCTCAAAAATACGTACTTACTTTCCTTGCTGCACATTGTTGCAAACATATTTCTTCAAGCGAACAATGCTGCCATTTTTAAGTTCATTGTTTTCGATCATGCAATTTAATTGCGTTGCAAGCATAGCAACTAAGGAAATAAAAAACAACAGAACTTACATGAATGAGATTTAACACCATCAGTAATAAGGAGACGATATCTATTTTGTCCGGGATTAGCTCCGGGCACATTTTTAAACCCCAAAACTTTGAGAATAGGATCTTGTATTATTTTTCCAGCATAAAGTTGCTAAAATGGGCAAAATTACTAAAAATACAGATATACCTCAATGGCACCGACGGTCAAAGATTGCATTTTGAAAATTTACACAGTTGGAAGGTCATAAGTTGAATTAAATACCAGATAGTCAAGGTCACGTTTGAACTAAATAATTAAATATAGATTCTTCTTAATTTTCACTAAATAAAACTTTAACTAAACGGGTTCTAAAATTTATACACAAAATGAACGTTAAATTCTGATTTCTCCTATCCAGAATCGGTTAATTGTGCAAAATGAATTAAATGGGCTCCATTTATACACATAAATAAGTTATGTTCACATCTCTTCGGAGATACCTATACTAAAATTGGAACGCATTAGGGAAGATTGGCTTGGTCCCTGCACAATGAATGGCAGGCACAAAAGTGAAGCGTTCCACGTTTTTCAAGTTGAGATATAGACTTAACTCAAAATCTATAAACCGGCAGGTGACACCTGTTTTCATACTTTCGTGACCCAGCACACTGTCGTGTTCACCATTTCCACATTACTCACCTTTCATTTCTAACTACCTCTGCGTTTGTCTGACTGCCTTACATCGGTGAATCCCAATCTCCTCAACCCCCCCCCCCAAGACTTTTTTCCGACTATGATTTTCCTACCATCTTTGAAACTCGTAGCCAACTGTAAAACTATTCATAACCATCATAATGCCTGCCATTTGATATAAATAAAAAGTTGTACTTAGAAGGTACCGTTAAAGATATATATAAGATTTCAAACTTTAATTACTAAGATAATAATTTATTATGTATAATTCCCGTACTTAAAATTATGATACATAAATTTTTGATTAATTTTGTTCATAATTATTTTAAGCCTATTCCATTTAATGCATCGCAATAGTCATTTTGTCCGCGTTGTGTCTGTTGGTGAAGTGGCCCTGTACCTGCAATGTCCACTGCTCCGGAGGTTATTCGTAGAAATCGCCCGGGGACAAAAAAAGAAGTAAATGTTTTTTTTGTAATTATTTTAGGAATGGTGTGATTGGCCTGATGAGGTTATTGACGAAGTTGATACAGTTCTCGCAGTACAACAGGTAACATTATTTTAAATTTCATAGTTCATTGTGTATAGATTATTCAGCAAACAATTCGGAAAGATTTCCGCAATATTGAAGCCATTTTAACCGAACCACAGGGTCAGGATCTTGGTGTTTGGAAATATGAGCATTTACGTCAGTTCTGTATGGAATTGAACGGTTTGGCAGTTTTGCTTCAATACCATTGTACCCCGGAAACCTGTGCTCAAATGACAGCAACAGAACAATGGATTTTCTTATGTGCCGCTCATAAAACCCCAAAAGAGGTAGCCTATAATACGCTACTCAAATTATTTGATAAAAAATTTATCCCTAGTGTCCAGCAATAAACTACACTAGACATACTTTAGATGGAGCTGCTTGTCTTTTGAACAGCAGTAAATATTTCCCTAGTCGAGTTACAATCCGTGAATCGTCTCTTGCAAAGTTAAGCTCCGTTTGTCGTCGTGTTTATCGAATTTTCTCACATGCCTACTATCACCATCGAAGTCTTTTTGACCAGTTTGAAGTATGTTTGACCCTTTTATTAATATTTTTATGCAAAATTTATCTGTCTTTGGAGCGTGGTATTGATCTACTCTTATTTTAATTTCCTATTTTGCTTTTTCCCTAGTTTTTGTGCTTCGTTAGTCCTAATCACTACTCTACCATTTGAATTGATGATGTGTCAGTATTTAGATTCATTCACCTGCGTCTTCTATTTTTGTGTTTAAACTCAATCTTACCTCTTCCATTCCTTTTTCCCAACCCATCGCTAGATTTTTCCTATATTCTTTTTATAAATTCTGTTTATAAGCTCTTTTTAGACCAACTTTAACTACACTACTTTACTTGGTGCATGGCGTTTACCCATCGTTGCGCAAATATTTCTGGCTTCATCTGGAAAAATGACAGTGTTCATTGCATCTTAGTAGCTATTATTGCCATTTTATGCTACTTGCAGGTAGTTAGCTTCAACTGCAACCCCCATTTGCACTCATTCCGTATTACAGTTAATCAACTGCGCTTGCCAATTTTCTCTCCTACGGAAGGTAGTATAGTGTTTCTCGTCAAATCAACTTTAGACAGCTTTCCTTCCTTGCATCTATCACCATTCAAATGGAATATGAATCTTCTTGTTTTATGCTTCTAGGAAAAGACAGCCCTGTGTCAGCGTTTCACAGTGTTTGTACTGAAGTACAACTTAATGAACAAGCAGAACCTTCTTGTGCCAATGCCGGGTGCTGACATTGAAGAGGTCACTTGTGTTGTAGAAGGGAATACCAGCTTAGTCGGTGGGAATTCAACGTCAGAAGCAAATTCTTCAACAGATCCTGGTACCGCCGGTAATGCTGATTCTGCTGTCTAGCATTTAAATTCAAAATTCTCGCACATTGTCTCTCAATGCTTACTTATTCTCTTTTTATTAATACTATGAATCTGATAATTACTTTCCTTTGTCTTTTATAACAATTACTTCAATTTGGTACCTTATGTTACTCCTAAGGTATCGACATGGGTGCGATTATTCAAACGCACTAGTAATAACACTGGGGATAGGAATTTTCTATCACATAAGAATGATCGAAACTTTTCTGCCTTGAAACAAAGCGCACATAGAACAAACCAATTAGGAATCCGAAATGAGGGCTCAATAGGTAGGAAGGACGCATCACCTTTCATTCTATGCCCCGACCCTTACTTGTTTTACCCTCGATATGATACAATAAATATGGATTTAAAATACTCCACACGCACAAGTTATAGTGAAAAGGCCCCATAATTTAAGCAAGGAATCAAACCCCCAAAGCACACTCCTTTTCTATATCGCTTGTGAGGAAAATTCTTGAAGAAATGAAAAGCTATAATATTACGTCTCAAAAAATTTGAATATGATACGTACATATTGTGCGAAGTTCTGTATCCATTCAAGAATAACACATAAACAAAAGAGAAAATCAAATACCATGATAAATTCAAAATGCACCTCAACAAAGATAGCAATCGAACATGTTAAGATAAATAAAACGCAGGAAAACAGAGGATTAGATTCAGCTTAATCATGCGACAAACAACCCGATATAAATAAAAACCAACATCCAAAGAGAAAAAATTGACCTCAAAATCTCGTAAATTGCCTAGAACAAAGTGATCGAGAACAAAATGTAACTAAATTTTATTATATTCATGACATGATTTAATAATGCTTAAAGAAAAATTCAGAGTCATACATAAGCGCTTATGATGGAGAAGTACGAATCTAGCTAGCCTCACGGTCAGGTCGGACATCATCAAAAAGCTTCTACAAAATTATTGATAAAAATTCACAGCTCACCCCTTTATTAACTCTTGCAAACAGTTTGTCTACACCTTTATCCACAGTTATCTCAAACCCAAAGGCCGAAATAACTGCTGTGGTAAACATAACCGAAGGTCTTCGCAAAATATAATTGTAAAACGCTTTAAACATCGCTAGACACTCACACTTTCAAATAAGCCTGAAGAAGCACGATTTAGAAAAACAGAGCGTGTTGGTTCCTAAGTGCATTAACAAAAAATACAAAAAAGATTGAAAATTTCAATTTTATATATAAATTTTAACGATAGTCATAGTCTCCGATTTCAATTCTTAAAACAGTCTAAAACACCAAGCATTTAGTAGGAAGTAACATTCACTATCTATGATACTATCCCCCTTAAAATTTATCTGTTCATTTAGAAATTTCGAATAATTTGAGTAAACGCAGAACTATGAAGTAAACGCAATGTCGGAAGAATTTAAATTTTATGGTAATATTCTATTTTACAGGTCAATAGCATTGAACCCAAACTTGTTACTTATCATTTAAAATGAGTCAGTTACTTAAGCATAATAAATTTATTACGAAATCATCGAATTTAGTTAAACAGTTTGCTTTTAGTGTAAAAAAATTTATATATGGACGCCCAATTTTGTAATTTACAGTACACAATTGAGTTGCATTAACCTGAAGTAAAACATTTAAATTACCTTGTTCTGCAAAATGAAAAATAAAATAATTCTCCAACGCGTTTAATGGACTGTTTCTACCTTTTTTATGAAAACGTGTTTACATATTATACTGACGAAAAGAAATCTATTGAATCCAAAATAAGAATTATTTTACTTCTCAACCAATCTAATTAATTAGTTGCAAATTAATATTAAAAAAACATAATAAACATCATCAACTATACATTTAGAAATCTGCTTTAAACTAATAATAAATAGCCATAAAATCATATTTATATTATGAGGTGTGTGATTCACCATGGGCAACGTATACTCATACGGCAAAAAAGACTATAAACCGGCAGTTGACTTTTAAGTTCAAAACTACCATGATCCCACTGCATGTCATTTTCGACCGCTTCCGCAGTACACACCTCACCTTTCATCTACCTTTGTGGTGTCTCTTTAGCATCTTTAAAACACTCTTCTGATCAACTCCCCCCCCCACCCCACTCTCGACTTTTTTCGATTGAATGTTCCTCTCCCTCTGTGAAGCCTGATGTCAACTAAAGGGCTAATGATAAGTATCATAATGCCTGCCATTTGATATAAATAAATAAATATTCATATAACTGTGAATTAAAAGCACTGCAGTGTTTGTTTCAATTATTTTGTACGATAAATGCATACGTATCATTAAAACCGCTCCCTATTGCTAATTAACTTTATAATGGACGAAACTAAGCGCTATAAATATCCTTTTCTGTGCGTTTTCTCATAATTACCAAGTTTTGTGTTTATTCCTAGAAAACAATGAATTTTCAGAGTCCTTCGAGACTGCATTGGCGACAAAAATTGTTTTTCCTTCGTGAATGTTCGTATGAAGTCCATAAGCATTTTGTTAATAACTCATTCCTAAAAGAAATATTTTCAAAATTAAAACTGCATTGATTTACATCAACGGTCTTAACATTTATAAAAATATAATTCATAAATCAAATATAATCAAAGTTATGTAATATTTTAATCGTAATAAGTCGCAAACAAAATTTTAAATTTTGTTTGTATCTTTCACCTATTCCTACCTTTGACCCACGCTGTTGTTTTGTAATTAGGAACTTCAGCGGAATTGTATAATGTGAGTTTAACTTCTGCTGTAATTTAAAATCACCTAGCTGGGTATTACCACCTTTTTATACTCCGCATCAGAAGTATGGTTTCAAATAATGAATTTATCAAATCATTAAATATTTTTATTTGTTAAAAATATTCCTCTCTCTATATTTTAGAGGTCATTTACGGACCCCTTTAATATCATTTTTGAACAATTGCGAGCCATTCATGCTTTGTATTCTTCTTAATTTGCTTGCCTGTTCTACATAAACGCACATTTTAGCGTGATAAGATGTGAAATAAATTCGTTATAATTCTCGTAATGTTTAAGACGAATTTTATGTAATTTATATATATATATATACATATATTAGTCTTGTCGTCGGGGAATTATATCTTCATTTTGAACAAAATCTGGTTTATGATGCTGATAAATACACTCACGTATAAAAATTTTGATTCCTATATGCCCTGAATTTTTGCTCGTTTTAAACAGCCCACTTGTCCTTCTGGTACTTTATCAGGATTGTAAATGATTGATCATATGTCAACTCCCACCCCTCACACTTGACCTCCACTTTCTTCACCCTTTTGTTCTTTCAGTTTGCGCTATGGCTGCCACTAGCGCTATTGGTGAATCAAATTTAGAGGCCTCTCCACCTCCACTCTCTTCATTATCCTCGTCTTCCTCTGCAGCTTCAAATCAAGGCGATGTAGATCAATGTGAGGGCTACCTCATCGTTTCCTTTAACAAGTCCACTGATGGACCCACTCCTCGGTCTGCTTCTCAGTACGTACTATTGTGCCTATTTTATTGATTACTTAATGCCTCTCACTAGTTCTTTATGTTATGTGCGCGTATACTGAGCATCACACGTACACGTAGAGTTGTGTGTGTGTGTGCTATCATGTGCATAGTTGTGTGGTGTTTGCTTTTGGTGCCATGGTAACTCACCCGAGTTTGATACCTAACGCTACACGCATTAACCCCGCTCTCATCCATTCAGCTTTCTGCTCTTTTAAAATAAGCGGGGGGGGGGGTGCAGAAAGAGCTCCGTTTTCTTGCCACTGCTTGAATTTGAGTCCTCCTTATTCTCTATCTCCGGAGTGGATTTCAGTCAGTTTTGTATTCATTTCTTTAGTTGCAATAACTTCTTGTTCCTCTCCTAATTTAGACTTTATATTGGTTTTTTTTTCGATTTGCCAAAAAGTATCTCAATAGTTTTGTTTTTTAATTATTCTTCAAATCTCATATTGACTTAACTGCACTTTTAATATATTTCATTTAATCTGAATGCGATTTTAAGTGGAAGTCTTCTTAATTTCTGACCTGTTTATCTAAGTGGTTTGGGTTCGTGATTCCCCTCAGTTCGCATTACATTTGTTTTCCCACTAATTATGCTAGAAGGTTGTGTAGCCTGACTTGAAATTCTGAAACGAAAGAGTGGATGTAATTCATTTTGTAGTTAGTTCAATAGTGCTCAATTTGTATTGATCGTGTTCTCCAAATGGTTCTTGTAATATGTGCCCTGTTAGTCACAAAAATGAATGCATATTAGTTAGTTCTCCCTAATTTACATTTTCTCAACTAAATTATGACCTTGGAATCTTAGATTAAACGGTCATACCTGGACCATTTGAATCAAGTAGGGCACTGTTAATAGGCTCTCGACAGATTTTACAGGCGAAATCGCTACTAGTAATATTTTTAATTAGCTATTACAATCAAATATCGGTAATATACATAATGGTGTAACTGTGCGCACTGGTTGATCAGTTTTAGCTTGCCTAATGGGAAAAAGGCATGTGATAACCTTTCGATTTATCGCTATGAGCTCGTAAGCGTTTTTTTTTATCGTGGCGGCGCCTCAAACCTTGAGTAATTTTATTGCGTCAAACGAATTCAGGTCAGCTTATTTGAGTTGAACTGGTTGTAATGCTCTCTCATAAACTTGAGTTCAATTCGCCGCGACTATTTGCAGTCATTGGTGTCGGCGGAGTCTTGGTCTTTCTATCCTAAACTAGGCCTGCGACCGCGCTTTAACCACTATTTACCCTGGCCAATGTGGTGACCTCATATATGTTAAATCAAGGTCACAGTGGCCTATTGGTCGGCTCATTCATCGTTTGAAAACATGACTGACTTGATGAATCCTCTCCTTAAATGTAAGGTCATAGACTAGACTCCTGGTCCCATACTCGTGTAATTGAAATTTATTTATATCAAATGGCAGGCGTCTTGATAGCTATCATTAGCCCTTTAGTTGACTTCGGGCTTCAGAAATAGCAGTACATTTATTTATATCAAATGGCAGGCTTTATGGAAACAAAATTTATTTATTTATTTCAAATGGCAGGCGTTTTGAAAGTTATCATTAGCCCTTTAGTTGACTTCGGCTTCAACAGAAGGGAGGAGCATTTTAGCCCTTTAGCTGACTTCGGGCTTCACAGAGAGGAGGAACATCAAATTAGCCCTTTAGTTGACTTCGGGCTTCACAGAGAGGAGGGGACACATCAAAGTGAGAAGAATTCGAGAGGCTAAGCAGAAGAGAGATTCAAAGATGCAAAAAAGATAGACACAAAGGTAGGGAAAAAAGAGAGATGAGTACTGTGGAAGTTGTAGAATATGGCATGCAGTGGGGCCATTGTAGCTTGAGGTCAGAAGTCAGCTGCCAGTATATCGACCTTTTTGCCGTATGAGTATACGTTGCCCATGGTGCACCACGTGGAGGTAAGTCTATCGCACACCCCCAATTTCCAAACATGAATACACATGCCAGTATCCTCCAATTCCTACCATGATTAGAATGAAAATACCGTGGAACTTTTGGTCGAGGATCTTGCACCATCATGTACCTTTTCATTGGCATTTTCTTAACCACCGAGCATTAGATTTTAAAAAAGGGGGATTTAACTCCTGAACCCATTTGCTGCATCTATAGCATTAGTGTTTGTTCCGTAGAATTTTAGTGTAAATCGGGTGGTGATGATGATGAATTGAAAGTATCTTCCTAAAAGTGAGGCCACGGCCTCGGTGAACAGCTTGTGAGCTGAGAGTGCAATTATTAGATCTAATTGAGCTAACATGAGTGACCGAAATCGCGGTCTCTTCAACAGAGCGGCGGTCTCTTGCCGTTATTCCCCTCTACCTAAGATTTGTTTATGTCAAATGGCAGGCGTTTTGATAGTTATCATTAGCCATTTAGTTGACTTCGAGGCGTTTTGATAGTTATCATTAGCCATTTAGTTGACTTCGGGCTTCACAGAGGGCAGGAGGAACACCACAGTGACAAAAACTCGAGAGTAGGGGGTAAGTCTATCGCACACCCCCCAATTAGATGTGAAACGGGGTCACTGTTTCGTTCCCCCCCCCCTTTCATTCCGATTTCTCCGGGTGAATGTGATTGTCTTTTCAATTTTGTTTCCTTATAGCATCTTGGCTAAGAAAATGTAGGTGCCTTGTTTTGCTAAATAGTTCGTGAATAGTTGGAATCGATTGATTATTCCGGCAAAGAAATTCTGTGAATCATATTTTTACTTAATTAAGTGACTTGCTCACTAGAAATCGGAGTTCTGAGTTTGCGTTAAGTGCGTCGTATTAGTTTTGAAGTGTGGCTTAAAACAGCTGTCTCTTGCTAAACGCATGTTATGCTGGCTAATTTTCGTTCATTTTTCTCATTTATTCCACTCGAACGTTGTCTGCTTTGTTTAGAGTACCTTTGGCGTCAACAACACCTCTCAGTATCAATCCTCTAATCTCTCCCCCAAATCGACCTCCCAAACTGTCCCGTTTAGCCGCACTCGCGAACGGATATGACGTCTCACAGTTTCAGAAACAACATTCCGCAAGCAATGTGTCTTCCGCCAGCTCAAATTTCTCCACCATTCCTTCCACTTCCTGTTCTCCCCCCTCTTCCATTGAATATGTCCGCAGATTCACCTATCCCGACGGAGATACCCACTACGATTGGCTTTCTTGTCCTTTGGCTGAGATGCAGGCGAAAGACCTTCAAGGACCCTCCTCTGGCGGCACCAACCCCGCTTCCAACCTCTCCTCAAAGCCCATTTCTCTTGCTCCCTCTGCCCCTAGGAAGTCATTCCTCGTTTACGATAGTTCCCTGCCATCTGTTAACCTCCCAACGCCCTCTTCCAGTTACCGTCGCCAGTTGACAACCTCCAGAAAGATGCTTCGTTGTGAAGAATGTGGAAAGTACTATGGAAATGAGTATAGTCTACATCATCACATCTGCCTCCGAAGAAAAGATGTCTGGAAGAAGGGAGATGTTCCAACTCAAGTAGTGGAAGGACAATTAACTTACTTCTGTCCAGTTTGCAGTAAGCCCTTCAAGTGGTTGGGGAATCTAACTCGGCATTACTATGTCCACACTGGACAGAGGTTTTTCAAGTGTGATATATGTCACAAGGAATTCTTCTCTGCCTATCAAGTTCGAAGGCACATGAATTCGCATACGGGTCTGAGATTTCAGTGCTCTGTCTGTGAGAAGCCTTTCACTTGCAAATATGCCTGTGCTTGGCACGCGCGACAACACGTTAAAGATGAGACTCAGCAACCCCAACAAACACGAAAGAATTAGTTGTATAATTAACACACTCACTCTTCCTCCCTCCACCTTTAAATTGTACAAAATTTCTGACTGATTTCTTCTTCTTTTTTGTGTATGTTACTTGGTTTCGTTTTGAGTCTTTGGGGAAATAATACTTGACGTACTATGTGGTCGATTTTGGCTCCACTTTTAATGCTGTTACTTTGTGGCCCTTTTGAAAACTGTTGTATCGACTTCGTTTCTTGTAACCTCGCGCTGGTCTTATTAGCATATAAGTGTGTGTGCGTGTGTGCTAGACGTGTTGGGTCTTGCTTAGAATTCCAAGTTCACGCATTGGGTACCGTGTTGTGCTCTATTCAGCACCTTACAATTAATATGCTCAATCATGATTGGCTCGCCACTTAACGACAGAGTGTGCACATGTTATGTTTACCTTTCATTCTGTAGTACAGTGTACTACTGTGTTCTGTGGATAAACAGTCAGTTTTGTCAAAGGGTCCTTTTTATCGACTATTTGCGTGCTGTTTTATAATCACGCATGAAATTAAGTTTAGGTTACTGGCCTAGTTATGTCAACCGAATATTTTTTTATGTTTTAACAGGCTTATTGGTGGCCTGAATTGAATTTGTGGCAAATGATCTAGTGTGTTGTTCCTTCAGTCAAACCTAATAGTGAAGTAGGATTCAATGCTTAATTGCTTAAACTTAAAGAGATTGGCTATTATTCTGTCCAATAGCAGATAACTTATTCACTTTATCGCACTCCATAGCGTTGAAATCGATAAATTCACTTGATGCTTTTCAACAGGTTGTCCAATTGTCAAATGTGCTCTTAGTCAACCACTTCGATTGTATTTAGACGCGAGTTAGAACAAAGCAATGAAAGAAGAATAACACCGTTAATTATTGGCACTGTAAACACAAGTACAGTATTTATCATCTATCAAGCTTCATCCAGCATTATAAAATATGAGTTTGAAGGTTGTATACTACTTGAAAATGCAGACATTTATTTTAAATGCCAGGTGTTTTGTTAATTATCATTAGTCCTGTAGCTGACTTCGGGCTTCACAGAGGAACATCAAAGTCACATAAAGTCGAGATGGGGATCTGAAGAGTGATTCGCAGATGTAAAAGAGACAGACAGACACAAAGGTAGAGAGGAAAAGGTGAGGTGAGTACTGTGTAAGTGGTCGACAGGTAGAAAAAAGGTGAGGTTAGTACTGTGGAAGAAGTCGACAGTAGAGCAAAGGTGAGGTGAGTACTGTGGAAGGGGTCGAATTTGACATACAGTGGGGTGATGGTAGTTTGAAGTGAGAAGTCGAAGAGAAAAGGTAAGATGAGTACTGTTGAAGTGGTCGAATTTACAGTGGGGTCATGGTAGTTTGAAGTCAGAAGTCAATTGCCGGTTTGTAGACTTTGTTGTCGTATAAGTATACGTTGCTCAGAATGCATCACGTGGAGGTAAGTCTATCGCACACCCCATCTGCCAAAATATATTACTTAGTAACTTTAGTTTATTTTTCATGAATGGAGTATTTTTTAAATTCCCTCTACGAAGAACTGGTCTTCAACCTATGGCAACTTAATATCGCTTCAAATGTAGGCAATGCCGTCTAAATAAGTCCTTAGTGTGGAACATCTTACAAATAAAACAACTTGGAACTAAAGTTCACAAAATCAATAAATTGCCTGGAGGGTATAAAAGTGGGTCAAAAATCATCCAGGTTACACCATAATTCTTTCAAGTCCAACATGAAATATGAGATGAATATATCCTGTATTCTATCAACTATCACCCTTTCCCAGGTTTGTCCATCTTTGTTGGATTGCTGGTGTTCGTGCTTCCGTACTGTGGGTCATCACGATTGCTAGCCACCTTCCAATCCATCTGGATTGAACTTCGCTATGCCTCAGACGGTTTGGTCATATGGTATACTGGTCTTTTACACCAGACGGAAAGCTATGATTTCGGACCGAAACACCGCTTTTTAAACCCCAGGAGGTCATATTTTCGACATGAGGTTTTATCAGTCGCCCTCCCCCTGGCGGTGCTAATACAACTTGTCAATTTGGGGGGGG